ATTTTTCCCCTTGTTAATCTAACATTTCTCTTTCATACATTTTATTTGTTGTTGGCTTTCAGGGCCCTGTGATGGATTGTTGGAGATGGACACCACCAGCCCCCTCACTGCGCTGCAAGGATCAGTGTGTTCAGATCATGCATGGAAAGCTTTTAAGGTAGTTTGTCTCCTTAAGTCCACACTTAAAACAACTTCATAGTCAATGCCAACATCAACTGATTCTATGACATTGCTGACTATTTTTTCTACTTCTAACATAAACGGGCAAAGAAGACACCCAGAAATGTTTTTTCACCCGAGGTATTCGGTCCCAATCATCATCACTTCTGATGATGCCACATACACAGTGAGTCCACAACGTCTTGAAATTGTAAGTATTATTTCTTTATTTGCCATTTTTCTGTACTCTTTAAAATACAAATGCTTTCTCGTTTAATTGCTCTATTGTTCTCTTTTGCAGGTTTCTGTAAAGTGCAGTGGTCCAGTGAATGGGAATGTTCTGTTGTTAATCCTCACTGTTCTTAGGAAGGAGAAATGTCAGTTTGTCTGCAGTAATACTGGAATACTGTGACATTGAATTAAAACAATACTCTGTCCTTGAAAAAACAGTTTTCACATTTCCTCTAAAGTGTACCTATCGTTTTATTGTGCTGATTTTCATAATTTTGTTGTTTGTAAACTTTGAATGTATTGACAGTTTCTACAATTGTCTTATAGTATAATGGCTCTTGAAAAAATGTCGGTAAGTCTTTATTTGACTGGGTGTGCATAAGACTGATATGATACTGTCATAAACATGATATAACTCCTGTTAGGAACATACCAACTGTTTCATGAAGTGTCATTCAGTAAATAATGACAAATTTAATGAGAATTTGCTTTAAAAGTTGGATGAAAGGTTTTATGTTATGTTTATGACAGTGTCATGTCAGTCTTATGCACTCCCCATCAAATAAAGTGTTACCAAAATGGTAATATATTGAAAGCACAATGTAATTATAATTTTTGTTCTTTAAAGTAATAACTTTAATGTTGTTGTTGTTGTTTTTTTGTCACACTTAAATTTTCATGCTCATTGTGTTCTCTTTTGATGTGTAAACTGATAATTTATGTAAAGTTCATAAAGTTGTAAATAAAATTGCACAATTTTAAAATGTCGGTAATTAAACAAAATATTTGAATTACCTTGAACATCTTGTGTAATTAATTTTTCCATGTAATTGTAGCCTAAAACAATGTAAGTACTGCAGTGTAGTTATGCATGTAATGTACAAAATAGGAAAGTAGGAATAAAGAAGACTTTTACGAGCAATTAAAATTGTACTTTATTAGCAATAGCAGTAAATCAAAAATAAAAATTAAGTGTAATTTAAATTACTCATTTAAATTAGTAGTATATTTAAAATATATTTAAAGTATATTAAAAGTATATTTTTAATATTATTCTGACAGAATTAATACACTCAAAATATCCTAATCAAGCTCTTCAATACTCCATAAAAAAGTACTTTTAAAAGTTTCTAAAAGTTGTAAATTAATACTATTTAAGTTCTATTAAAGTATACTAAGCACAAAAAAAGTTGTTCCACAATAGTACAGTTTAAGTACATAAATAAAAGCATGTTAAAATTTAAAGTATACTTTTTTTACTAGGGTAATGTTGATAGCCACCCTTATAGGTGTTGTTATATGGATTTATTTTTAAAGGAAGCTGAATTATTTAGAGAAATGTTCAGTGTACAGGCTTGTGTGATCTGTTGCATTTGTGCTAAAAGAGAAATGCATTTTCTGGCACTCTGCTTGCTTCGCTGCTCTGACTGGGAGCATTTCAGAGATAGATATAGATCAGGGGACATATCTGGCTGGAGGAAATATCACTCTACATATTTTTGTTTATAAACCAATTTTCCACTATTTTGTGTTTATCTATGATAATAAAAAAAAAACCAGGAAAAGGCCAAATCTGGCTTATGCAGCCATAACCTTTGTTGGCAAGATGGGCAGCAGAGCTGACCAAAAGAAACTCATGTCGCTTTGCTTTAAGACAGCTATAGCAAAGCGACATGCATTTCTTTTGGTCAGCCCTGGGTAAACTTTGTCTCCCAAAAGAGGGTCCAGCATAATTTTTTATCTGCTTTATTTTGTCCTTTTGGCTTCAGGCATGTGTGTTTGGAGTAAAATACACACAGTTGAAAGGGTATGGGGGGAGAGTGCTGTGTCTCTTTGCTGGATTAGCATATCAGCACTGAGTGCTAATTTAACTGGGTCATTGAAAGAGAATGCTTTAATAAAGCTGGAGAGTTTTAGATGTGCCATCACGAGCATGTAGCCCTTCTTCTGCTGTTTGACGTGTATTATTCTTTCAATTTCAGATTAAAGTTGCAGTGTGTAGCTTTTCTAAAGATATATTATCTGTCATTAGCACATTTAGCAGTGGTTCACAAGTTTGATTGACAGCACTAACCCCTCCTCCTGGCTCTGATTGGTTGTTTTTGGTCAGGAGCGGTGCATTTCTTCAGATGGCAATAGCAGCACAGAGAGGAGGTTGCCTGGGAAATTCATGGCAGGAGATCCTGCACTCCCTGTGCTTCCGACCGTAGTAATCAATGTTACTGGCCAGTTCATGCTAGCTTATAACAATTTAGTTTACTTATTGCAGTCGATTTCAACAAGCTTGGTGAGATTGCATAAAACTTCACTAACCTAAAACAATTTCACATCCAAATGTTAGATAGCGTTTAGCAACTTAACTTACCTCAATATGTTTTTTTTATTTTATTTTTGAAAGCTAGAAGCTCATGCTTTTGGGGGGGAGGTTGCACCGGAATCTGCAGGATTCATTTTTTGACCGGGTTAACTCAAATAAATCTTTTAAATAAGGCCATGGCTGACGCGGGTCTTCTGGATGACTACACTTGGTGGACTCCATTTTGGGTGTTAGTGATTCTGAAGGAGCTGCATACCTGCCTTGCTCTTCTTGAGGGACGGTCTAATGGCACTTTTCTACTTTGAAAAGTACCATTAANGCAANGCTTTATAGAAATGTAGTGAAGTAGAAAGTACAGATGCCTACTGTAAAATGTGGTGGAGTAAAAGTCTAAAGTACCCATAACTAAATCTACTTAAGTAAAGTACAGACACACTTTCAGGTTGTTTGCCTGTTCAGACTGCAGAACACATACAGGTCGCATATGTGTGGCAGTGTGAATGGCCCGGCAAAAAAATCCGATTTGATAAAAAATCGGAATTGGGTCACTTCAGGCTGCAGTGTGAACGTACCCTAATGGTGCGCCATAACTCCTTTTTTCCCCCTTTCCTTAACCTTCTCTATGAATTCTCAATGAGCAGCTGCTTAATAAACATAAAGGGGTGTGTGCTCAGAAGAAACCTGACCTCCGAGAGCTCAGCAGTGGGCAAGAGAACAATGGAGGAGGGAGGGTGTCCTTGAGCTGAGTGTTGAGACAGCCTCCAGCCGGGGGCGGAGGGGCAGTCGATCCCGTCAGCCAAAAACAGTCAGAAGAGAGTGGGCTGAGCAAGGGGAGGAACTGGGATTTCTGCTCCTGCCTGTGTGGCTGCAGGAGAGACCCCGGATGCTGGGATTTTCTCCACCATGGGATGCAGCCTCTGTTCTTTGAGGAAGCCTCATGAGCAATATAAGCTACTCTACGAAGTCTGCAAGGTACTGTGACCGTGTGCTTTCAAACTTAGGAAGAGTTTTTGGGTGGTTTTTTTTGTTGTTGCAATCTTTCTCCGGTTTTTAGCCATTTATCATCCCTGACTTGTTGTCGGTCTCGGGGGTCATTGGGTTGAGTTCAGTGGGGTGAAGTGGAAACTGTTGCCAGCTAAAAGGGGGTCTGAACTCTGGATGCTGGGGTCAGCGAGAGGCGGCGTGCTGTGCTTAAAAGGAGGTAATGAAGAGGTGACAGCTCTCTCAATGACCCGGTGGATCTGTAGCCAACATCTGAACGCTGACTGTCCTTGCTTCACTCTTTCACCAAAGTTTATATTTAACAGTTGAGTGCTTGTTTTGCAAATTGTCTTTACGGAAAAGAAAATAGCGCAGGCATTGTAGCAGATGCATCATTAACACACGGGGTTGAAGAGCATTCTCACACCCAAGGACTGGAGCTAGATTTGGCGTTCTTTTCCATTCTTTGGCGGCTGAGCGTAAACCCTGATTATAGGCAGAAACGTTTGATGGGTTTCGCCAAGTGTTTTTTTTATTTTTTATGCTGCAACATTTGCTCACGTCAGAGATACCACAAACTCCTGAACTCCAGCATATTGTTCTCATGCTTTAAAACTAGATTTACATTCACCCATCAACATGCATCAGCTGAAGTTTACAGTGTTTGTATCATTTATGTTTCTTGCCCTCAGAAGTGGATTGGTGTATACTGGGTGGACAAAACCTGGTTCATGAAAATAAAGCGAGACTGTAGTGGTATTTTAAGAAAAAGCAACAACTCCCTTTTTGTTGTTGTTTCCACCAATGGTAGAAAGAAGGTCTGGGATGTTAACGTAGGGTTGTGTATCGTATTGTTTTTCATTTATCATGATAAATTTTTTATAAAAATTTTGATTTATTGTTGTCACGATAAATTCCAACTAATGATGTTTGAAATCCCCCCAAACTTTTGGCATTGATGGTTTTACTATTTTCTCCAATGTTTGTTCAATGTAAGCATTGAACAAAATCCCAATAAATTTGAAAATGCAGTTACTGTGTGCAATATTCTTTATTCACTCAGTCATACATTTACCTAAAAAAGATTTTATAAATAGTTCTTACCGTCCCTTCTTATAGTTAGCACAATAGTGATAATGATATCACTACCCCAAAATTCTGAGCTAAAACTTTAAATCCATATCACCCACCACTACTTTAATGCATTAATATAGATTAATTACATCAGTTTCAATGTGTTCAAAATTTTAACACAATTAATGTATTTATTTATTTATTTTACATACAAAATTCCTGAACTGCAACTTTGGTATTCACATGTTTCTGATACGCTCATAAATCTATGCACAAGCAACGTCTGCAAACAGTATCAGTGAGCTGGAAAGAAATGTTGCTGCTCAAGTTGTGCTAAAAGGAGTTAGCTTTTATCTCAATGCAATACATGCCAGTGTTCACATATTTAAAGAAGTATTTTTTTTTTCAAAGAAGTCCAATTAGATTGTTAAATAACCTAAACACAGATTAAAAACAGTAAACTGGATTGTTGAGATCTATTTATTTAATAAAAAGCTTTTGAATTAAAAATGTTGCTTATTTTGTTGATGCATGGTTTTTCATTAATTAGAGATTCTGCAATTAGCACAATAAAAAATTAAATCTGGTCCCACGCCAAGTATGAACATTTAATTCATTTCAAGACTTTGTTTTAAAGAGTCCTTAATCAGTATAGAATAGAAGTTCAGTCATGGCTTATTTTTTTCCATAAATTGTGATTTTCATACTTGCTTTTTTCTAGGTAGGCACTAGTGTAATTTTAATTTTATTTTCTTTAGCAAACAGAATAAAAGTTTCTTCAATCTTAAGCCAGGGGAATCCCAAATGTGGTTCAGGGGCCATTTTTGCAGTCTGTGGACTGATTTTGTGTGTCCTGACTTGCAATTCAAGAATGAATTATCAGAGTGGAAAAGTGTTGAGAAAAACAGAAGTAAATTAACTGCCAAAGATTTGAGAAGAATCAAAAGGTGAAGCTACCAGGAACCCATTATCTTCCAGTGCTGTCATATTCCAGAACTGCAACCTACCTGGAGTGCAGAGAAGTACAAGATGTTCAGAGACATGGCCAAGGTAAGGGAAGCTGAAATCTGACCAACACCAAACAAGACACATAAGTTTAAACGTCAAAACAGATCTGAAGACGGATTTTCAAAGGTTGCATGGGTTCATGGCTGGATCAGTGATGGGCACAGAGCTCCACTTCACACCAGACACCAACAAGGTGGATGTGTATGGGCTTCTAGTATTATTAAAGATGAGGTAGTTGGACCTTTTCACATTGAAGATAGAGTCAAAATTAACTCCTAAACATTCTGACAGTTTTTAGAAGACACTTTCAAAACTTTTTTGGATTTGTACACTTGATGGATTTGTGTACTACCACAGTAGGTCATATAGTAGGTGCCCCGTTGTTGACTCGTGGTTGCTAAAAACCTTACCAGACTGATTTTAGTGACATAGTGGGTATAAAATATTGAATAAAATGTTGTGCTACATGACAGGCTTTATTTTCACTCTTATATTTAACTTTATGACACACAAAACTACAAATGAATCGTCCTTATTGTCTCCAGGTGCATTCTGGGTAAAGCTTGTCACCAACGTCATCATCAGTCACTTGGCAACAAATGGCAAACATGTTTTGAATTTGTGTTGTTTCACCAGTAGCCTGATGTTTCTGTTCTTCTCTTGGTTTGTTGTACTTCATGTCAGATGGACTTCAAAATGACGTAATCGCTCTCTCTGGTGATGAAACTTGTTAGCTCCGCAGTTGCGAACATGTCTATGTTGTAAAGTTAATTTATCATGAGCTTTATTATTTGGGCCCGGTCATTAGCCCCGCCCCCGGCCGACGCCGACTTGTTCTGCTACTGCTTCACATGTTTGCCTGAGGAGCGGAGACAGCAGTAAGGCGTCTTGTCTGGAGCTTATTATAACAAGGTAAGTTCCATGTTAAAATGACCATGTTTTTGACTATTTTTTATGGAGGCATTATTTTTCCGTTTACGCAAGAGTATCAATTTATATACATAGTTTGCTTAACGTACGTTTATTTGTTTGGATATCACGGTATATACGACTGTTTATTATCTTAACCGAACATTGAAACTGTCAGGAAAATCTGGAGGCCATTTGAGTTATTAATTAGCCATAGGTCGTTTTCTTTAAGTTTTTGGCTGTAGACTGCAAAACGGGGGAGTGGCTGTGCTGGACCATTGGCTTGATCTATGCCACAGGTGTGTCAAACTCCGGTCCTGGACGGCCACTGTCCTGCAACATTTAGATGTGCTGCTACTGCACCACACCTGACTCTGGACTCTGGAGAATGTATCTACACAATGAGGAGGCAATTAAGCCATTTGACTCTGGCTTTTGTACCTGTGGCATATCTAAAAACTGCCCAAATGTTTTTTCTTTGTTAGTGTGTCATGTTGGTGACTGAAGCCTGTTATGATGACTTCAACACATTTCTTCAGACAGGTTGGCACAACTTTTAATGTCCAAAAAAATTTTCTATAAGCCGACTAATTTCTTTCGTAATTATTTCTGACTTTTTTATGCTTTATCTTGTAAACCAGGTGGGCAGAGTAATTTGAATGAATGTGACGGTGACACACTATTAAGAGAGGAAAAATTCTTGAACTATAATCTATGCCCGGATTCAGAAAATACTGTTTGCAAAGACTGAGATCACACAGAGATAACAGCGTCACAATAATCAGCATTTATTCAAGAGAGA